ACCATGCCTGAGATACTGGACCAATGTTTGTCAAGCGAGATGATATGACCGGTCACCTTCTCTCAAAGGTTACCCGGTCATTCTTTGTGCTCAACCCGTCTCTGGTCTTCTAGATTGTCCTTTGTAACATTAGGCGACATTTTGGCTAACGCCCAAAATGTGACCGGTCACTTTTTTAGTGGAAGTGACCGGTCAAAAGTTGACCCGTCCCAATCGAAGAGTTAACCTCATTTGGTGATTGATAAAAGTGACCGGTCATATTTTGACCTGTCCCTTTCGGTTGTCCGGGTCGGGTATAGGGATATACCCATCACCCAATTAATTACTACATTTTAGTAAGATTTTTTTAAAAAAATTGAGTAAGATATATACTCCTTCTGTCCCAAATTAATTAATCTGTCAAGTTACTATTACATGCTCTCGATAATTTATATACAAAGTTAATATATACACTTAAAAAAAGATTACTAAAGTTGCTTCTTTTTTAGTGACTATTTTCATTCAAGAAAGTCTACTTAAATGACCAAAAATGTCATTTAGCCATGCCAATAATTAAACGTGTTACATTTAGATTCCTAAATGTGAGGATAAGGTAATATAATACTCCGTATAATACAGAGAGTTGCCATATATGGATATTAAATCTATACAATAATGCATAGATTTTCTAACATAAACAAATTAATAAAAAAGAGCGGCGTGCATGTATTGTTCCCAACATTTGTTCTCATCTAAATAAATTTAAATAACCCTATTTTTTATTTTCCAGTATATACTTTTATAAAATCCCGTGAAATTAAAAAAAAATGTTAACTTTATTTAATTTTGGGACAAAATTATCTAAACGCAACAATTAATTCACTTGATGTATGATGTATGTTTACCATGGTGACAAATTAGATTTTCAGATAAGAATAAAAAGAATTAGTTAAAATAGAATGCCAAAGTTATCAAAAATGAAAAAAAACATGCTAAGGCAAAATTTATTCCAAAGATTTACTTAAATTTTAACTAAAAAATGCGTATAGACAGACTATATACGAGAATATATTAAAATAATTTATAAGATATTATAGAAATGTGGAGGATGGACTTTTTCACATAAAAAAAATCTTTTTTTATTTTTTATTTAAAAACATAAATGCTCATTTAAGTAGTAAAGAAATACTTAATTTGCCCATGATGGATTTTAGATCTACCATAAAATTTGCCTATACTATATACGTACCCAAAGAAGGACGACAAAAATATCTGGAAAAATATCTTTGGTGTCATTTTTGGCCTCGTTTTCCTGCAATACACACACAAAAGCTTTTACTCTCATTAGTTCAATATCAACATACTCGTAAATAATAAGGATCATGCTAGGAACCTATCACAGTTGCCCCTACGGATGACCACCATACGTGATTTTATACATATACAGACGGTAATCTTCTGTATTCACAACTGATAATCTGTCTGTGTATACGTAAAAATCATCTATAATTGTCATTTGTGAAAAATGAGAACATCTATGGTGATTTCCTAACATTTTTAAAACGTAATAAAAGATGTCTATATATAAAATTAAAAACTACTCTCTCCGTCTCGTTTTAAATCGCCTATTTTGACTTTTGGGTATATTTAAGAAAAAGATTAAATAGAGTTGATTTTCTGAAATTGTCATTACTTTTTAGGAGGGGTGACTATGAATGAGAAGATAAGATGAAGAAGAGTGACTTATTTTAGGGGTAGTTTAGGTATTTCATTTTTATTAGTTTACGAAAATAAATAACAGGCAACTTATTTTGAAACGAAGAAAAAAAGGCAAACAGGCAAATTTAAAATGGGACAGAGGGAGTACTCCGTATATTCCTAACTTTAAAAAATAAAGTTGAAGTATTGAAAGGACAAAGGAGGAAAAAAAGGGAGCCCAACAAAATAAAGTGAGAAGTATGAAAAGGAGGAAAAAAGGCAGCCCAACGTCTATTGTTTTTTTAAATGCTTCTCGTGTCCTCCGTCTCTGTGTATTTGTCTATTTTTTACATTTTTGACCAAAATTGCTAAATGTTGACCTCAAATTAAATAAAAATGCTATTATATATTGATACAAAAATAGTTCTAATAGATTTATTATATAAAATATTTTTAAAATTTTATTTTATGCAATTAATATACGATATATATTTTATTTAATTATAAGTCAAAGATTAAAAATGTTTGACTAAAAAGAGTCAAAACTAGACAAATATTCAGGGACGAAGATAGTTCTTATTTTTGTTTCAATCATTTTTATGTAAAGAGTAAAATGGGTAAGTCAAATGTCATTTTCAACATCATCATAATATGGGTGAATTGGAACCGAGACTTAGGGGGTGTATTCAATCCAGATTTTTAAAGATTCTGACAGATTATTTTGAATCCATGGATTCTGTAAAGTCAATGGATTATTTAAAATCTATGCAGAGTTAGATAGATTTTAATGTATTTTGTTAGCAGGATTTTGTAAGATTGTGATAGATTATTTATTATCAATAGATTATTTATATATACATTTGAGTTATTTTAAAAATCTAGACATTGTACTAACATTGATTATTACTTATCATATTGACCAAAAATTCTTAAAATAACATTATAAAATAAAAATAAATTATTTTTAATACATTATTATTATTATTATATAGATAAAACTAATCAAAATTTAGAAGTCATATATTCTATAGCCAAAAAAACAATACAAAAAATCAAAATAAATAGCCAAAAAACAGCAATAAACCAAAATAAAAAAATCACTACTTCAACAAACATGGAAAAAATGAAAAAAAAACACCATAAAAAACACGAAAAAAATAGAAAGAAAAATGAAAAGAAAGCAGAAGCATAAGCAAAAACAAATAAATGAAAAAAATGGAACAAAAACAGCAAAAAACCAAGCGCACAAAAGAAAGCTGAAGAAAGAGAAAAAAAACTAAAATAAATCAGGAAAAAAACCTGCATCCGAAGAACCTGCGTCGAAGAGGAGAATCGAAGGCTTGAGATTGGAGGAGGAAGAAGAAGAAGATGGAGTGACGGATTGAGGGAGATGAAAGTCGGAGAAGATGAAGCACCAGTTCCAGCGAAAGAAGAGAATAGGAGAGTCTTCAAGATCCCAGGGCTTTTGATTGGATTTGGAACTTGGATTTGTATTTATACCCAAGGTATAAGAATACATCAAAATCCATTTTTAAAAAAATCTTTAAAAATCTATCAATTTTTGAATACCATCATATTTAGAAAGAATTTTTAAAATTTGAATTGAATACACCCAGATTTTAAATGACTTTTTAAATTCTGAATTGAATACCTACGGAATTTCAGAATCCAAAAAAATCTATCAGAATCCGGATTGAATACACCCCCTTTAAATTTCAAGATGGAGAGAGTAGAGAAATACATAGTATAATGTTTGCACATGTGCAAAATTGTACTCCGTATCTTGTAGGTGTATTTAGTTTTAGTTTAGGTTTTAAGATACTCCCGAGAATGTTCTTGTTTCATTTTTTGTGCATTTAATAACCCTTATACTTACATCTAAAAAATCTAAAATTTACCACATTTCTCATTTAATATACTTAGAAATTGTTTTGACAATTTTTTTGGCATTTGAGAAGGGATAGAAGTGTTTTATTATATGTGCAAAAAATGAAACAGGAATATCTTTTAGAGAGGGAGAGAGTATTTTAATAGAATGTTTAGAATCAATTGACATTAATAGTATTGAGCTCTCCAAATTATATTTCTGTTAATTTCATTTTTTATAAATTAGAAAATATATGTTGTTCCACAAAGAATGTTTCTTTAATTTTTCCAAAGTCTTGAAATAATTTATTTTCTTTAATTTTTTCAAAAAATGAAATTAAACATGAACATTTGTTTAGAGACGGAGCATTACCTCTCAAAGAAAAAAGCAAAAGGAGAGATGAGAAGGGTGGCGAAGAGTTGCTGGTAAGCTATGTGGATGAAGGGATTCATGCCGGCGCCCATTACCGCCGTCGCGATGATATTAACTCCGGCGTACCCTGACTGCACGATCACCATAACCACCACTGGCATCAACTCTCTCCCATCCATTTTATATATATTTATTTTTATTTCTCGATAGAGATAGAGATCAGATCAGATAGAGAGATCCTCCGGCCGGAGATGACTTGTTTATTTATTTGCTCTCATATACACTACGTTCACTATATATATATATATATATATATATATATATATATATATATATATATATATATATATATATATATATATATATATATATATATATATATATATATATATATATATATCCACCAAAATGATCCGAAGAATGGATCACGAGAAATAAAAATAAGAACAAGAACTCGAGAATTGTGTACGTATTATTAGCTTGATTCAGCTTGAGGACCCCCTTCGGGTCCCCTCTATTTATACATGGATTTTAGATCATTAAGGTAATTCACAATCAAAGGGAGTCTACTCCGCCGATGGCACGATCCCCTTTTTCCGGCTTCGTCCCCGTTCTCCAGCTGAGTCTTCTCCTTTAAATTGGCTCGGCCAGCTGTCTTTTGAATTAGGTTGGTTCGGGCCCAGCGTCTTGGGCCGGCCCAGATTCAAGCCCTCACCGCAAGCTTGACCTGGTGCCTACTGGGTCAGATGTTTGGGCCACCCACTGGATATCGGCCCACCACAAGCCCCCCAACTCCTCATTCCTTAGACGGGCCATGTTGAGGGATGGGGAGTTTACAAAGTCCACGCCCCATCAACGGACCCGAGTCGTTCCTTGGGTTCCGCGTGACGTTTGGCACGATCTCCACTAAAAGCAATCATGGCCTGCTGTTTTGCCTTCAAACCTTCTGATAAAAACCGCCACTGGACGCCATTCTTCCCTACTTGCTTCATTCGCTCCTTCACTTGCTCTTCCGCCGTTACCCGACCCGTTTTCCTTCTAATTTCATGTCAGTTCCCCATGATTGTCTCTGATTCTGATTCGGCTTCTCCGTCGTCCAATTCTCGCAAAGCCGGTCACTCGGCCTCTGGCCATGACCAAGGTCAGACCAATTATTCTCAGCCATCGCCGGCGGCCGTGCCTGGCCAAAAGCTGCGCCGGCTGAGGAAGCAATTCCCCCCCCCCCCCGACCCTGGCGCTGAAGAGCAAGAGGGCCAAACTGGATGAGAACATCATGGCGTTGTGCCATTGTCAAATTACTGGTCGTGGGTTCGCCGACGCCACTGACATGGTCGGGCCTTCTATTGAAGTCATACGGCCCACTAGAACCCAACCCGCCCTGGATGCTCCTTCTGGTTCTTTACCGTCCATTTGGCCTCTCTGAAGAAGGGGCTGCGATTCCCTCTTCATCCGTTGTTGATTGAGTTCCTCAACGAGGTGGACCTCCTCCCCTTCCAACTGGTCCCCAATTCTTACCAGTATATCGCCGGTTACCTGATCAAATGCAAGGAAGTGGGGGTGAAGCCCACCCTTGACCAAATGCAAAATGACACTAAGGAAGTGGGAGCGTCTAAAATGACATCAGTTACTTATACATCAGTTGCTTACACCAGTTCATTTGGGGTACCTACGGTGCTCCGTTTGTAAAAATGACGGTTCTTACCCCCTAACCCTCCCCCTAAACCCCCCACCCCAGCCACCCCTCCCATCCCCTCCCTACCCTGGCAGTATACTATTGGTGATTTTTTACAAATACTATAATCAAATCATTTTATCTATATGTTTGTACTCCCTATTTTTTCGTTTATCTAAATATTTTTATACCCCTCCGTCTTAAAATGTTTCCAACATTTCGTAAAGCGGCACAAAATATCAAGTTTTATCATTTAACTTTATTTAAATATTGGTATAGAAATAAAAAATTACATATTTTAAAAACTACATGAAAATTTTTTCGAAATAAGACATGTCAAGAATATTTTATTTTATCAAATAATTATTGAAAATGTACAAATAAACGAAAGTTCCTTGATGATTCAAAAAGAGAATGTGACATTCTTTTTGGGACGGATGAAGTATTTAAAAAATAAACCAAAAGTCTCAAATTATTTGTCACATTTCTATTAACGAGGCAAAATATCAAGTTTTTTCAATTCATTTTATTTACATATTGGTAAAGAAATAAAAAATAAAAATTACATATCAAAAAACTACATGAAAAGTTCTTTGAAACAAGAGATGTCAAGAATATTTTATTTTATCAAATAACCAATGAAAACATAGAAATAAACAAAAGTTCCCGCAACTGTTGAAAAAGCATATGTGACAAATAATTTGGGACGGAAGGAGTATTTAAAAACGAGATCAAATGTCCTACGAAACAAGAGATGATATTAATTTATAGTATGATGGAATTCGGGTTCATGCCCTCATTAACTACATAGGTTCCGCGGCCTAGATGTGCACTTGTGATGGAAGCCGTGTAGATAGGCACGTTGGGTATACTCAAGTGGGTTGAAGTGTCAAGAAAGAGATACTGATAGAATTTGGGATGTGTATGGATAATTGGATTGAGTAATAAGACATTTGGGCTGAACCACATTAAAAGATTGAATCCAATCGATTAGTTAATTCAACTCAAAAGCTTATATACCGATTATTTTTCTCACACTTTTCCGATGTAGGATACTCTTAACACTCCCCCTCAAGTGAACAACCGGGTCATTTTGAATCTAACCGGTTGACAATTTGAAAATGAACTCCCATTCTCTTGACTTTTTTTTGAGCGCCAACACCTAAAGGACTACGAGCCGCTAAGTATAGACTTTCATACGAGCAATCGTGTTAAACGGGCCACAGGCCGTTGAATACATACTCCATACGGACAACTGGGCTAAAAACTAACGGGCCGCTAGGAATGAACGTGTAGACGGACACCTTGACAAACGAGATGGGCCAAAATCTGCTCTGATACCATGATAAAATTTAGGATGGGGTATGGACAACTGGATTGGGCTATAAGATACTTGGGCTCTTGAATTGAACTAACTAATCAATTGGATTCAATCTTTTAATGTGGTTCAGCCCAAGTATCTCATTACTCAATCCAGTTGTCCATATCACATCCTAAATTCTACATTAAAAGATTGAATCCAATCGATTAGTTAGTTCAACTCAAGAGCACAAGTGTCTTATAGCCCAATCCAGTTGTCCATACCCCATCCTAAATTTTATCATGATATCAGAGCAGGTTTTGGCCCACCTCGTTTGTCAAGGTGTCCGTCTAGACGTTCATTCTTAGCGACCCGTTAGTCTTTAGCCCAGTTGTCCGTATGGAGTATGTACCCAACGGCCTGTGGCCCGTTTAACATGATTGCTCGTCTGGAAGTCCATACCCAGCGGCTCGTGGTCCTTTAGGTGTTGGCGCTCAAAAAAAAGTCAAGGGAATGGGAGTTCATTTGCAAGTGGTCAACTGGTTAGATTCAAAATGGCCCGGTTGTCCACTTGAGGGAGAGTGTTAGAGAGTGGCATCACACATCGAAAGTTCAAGAGTAAAATAATAGGTATATAAGCTCTTGAATTAAACTAAATAATCAATTAGATTCAATCTTTTAATGTGGTTCAGCCCAAGTGTCTTATTGCCCAATCCAGTTGTCCATATCCATCCCAAATTCTATCATGGTATGAGAGACAGGTTTTGGCCCACCTCGTTGACTAATAGGCCACGGGTTCGAAACTCAGCTCCACCCAGTTTAAAAAAAAATTAAAGTTTCATGTGCAAGGCTTGAAAAAGACTATGCCTGCACGTGAGGGGGCGTGTTAGAATATAAATAACTGTTCCTGGGCCACAACCACAAGCTTGAGCTTTTGGTTGAGTTGCTTCCTTGAAAGATACACGTTGGGTATCAGCTCGAGGAACGCTTCATGGCTTACTTCAACAAGAATTGTATGTAGACCAAAGAATCGCCATACACATTTGCGGTAACTATCTATCTAGCAATGGTGTGGAGAAAACCCATTAAGGCGTTCGATCTTGGCCATTAATTAGAGGAAAGAAACCTGGCTGCTGGTGGAATGAAAAGTCATGCCATGTCACGTTCACAACGACATTATTGTAAGGATCGATTCCGGCACCCCGACCTCACTACCCGACGACCCTCCGACGACGCTTTTGAAGAAGCCATCCTACGGGCAGCAGAACGATATGGGACTTTGGAGGAAAAGGTTAAGACTCGGTGCCCCAGAACCGGCTAGTAAGGAAAGAAGGTACGTACTTTGGTGCAAAAGAAGCTCAAAGACAAGAAGAGCTTCTTAGAAGGACCCCATGGGGCCGGGTAGACCTTGGGGAAGTACCCTTGAAGAAGCCCCCTCCCCCTTTTTTTGTTCCAATTGAAGAGGTACGTACTTGCATATGGTTATATGCAGATCATGAGGCGTTAATCAGGCACCCCACGAACTCAGAAAAGGTGTGTGAGGTCAGCAACAATACTCTCAGTCTTTGTAAGAGTTATGCCAGAAACCCACCATTTTTAACTCTAAGAGTTTGACACTAATAGTGTAAATTATGTGGGTCATGCTCACTGTTCTAGACCGAGTATAGGACAAGGAGCTAAGGCACTGGGCTAACTACTATGATAAGAATATTAAAGACGCCAGAAAAGGTTCCGTCCTAGTTTATTTATCCTAGTTTGAATTTTAAATAAACTTTGATCATAAATTGTGTGAAACGTATATTAAATTATAATATAAATTTAACAAAATTAAATTTGTTTTAAGATGCGGTTTTGATATACCAAAACTTGGTAACTTATATCTATTCAAAATTATAATAATTTGTTGTCAAGTTTAGATTAAAAATCAAACTAGAATAAATAAATTAGGACGGATGGAGCAGTTATTAACATTTTGTAGAGAGTACAAGGGGGGAAAGGATTACAATACAGTGCTTTAGGATTTGATCCCTCAAAGAAAGTTCTACACATGTATTTATAGGGGAAGACTAAGGGGACTATCTTAAGTTAACCAACTCCGTTGAACGTTAGTCACTAAAACACGCTTTTTGGAACTTGATGCCTCGATGCCCAACCATTACTTCACAAACCTCGAATGCCCTTCGGTAATACGAC